GCCAAGCCCTGCTCTTCAGCAAAGTCCTCCTTCCATGGAGGACTCTCCTCTGCTGGACCAGAAGAACCTGAACCTGAAGAAACAACAACCCCCAGTGCTGCTGGGACTCCAGGATTGACTGAATTCCCACCTCTTTTCCAAGGTGGAAAATCCAACTTGGGAATCAGAGCCAAGTTGTTCTGGGATTTCATGGCAAAAACCAAGGGACCTCCTTGGTTCTTCACCCAAAAGTCTACGGAGGGTTTCACATATGAGGGTTTGCAAAAGCAGGACCAGCTGGAGAAGGGAGAAGGACATTCTGGGAAGCCATTCCAGGAGCTGAAAGTCCCTACCCCTATTTTTTTGTCTTTCCACTCGATGGTCTCCTGAAGATCAGCAATTTCCCTGACATGGCTCTGGTGGGTCTGCTGCAGCTGCTGGATTTCCTGAGGGACAGGGATGAGAAGGAGGAGACAGGAAGGAGGTGAGCAAAGAAACTCTGGAGTGCCCAAAAAGGGCTGGGAAAAGAGAAAGGAAAAGGCAGGTAGGGAATAAAGGAGGATCCAGCTGCAGAATTCCTGACACCTCAGCTGGAGCCAGGGCCCTGAGGGACACCCCAACTCCACACCCAAGCCAGCTCATGGACAAGACCACAAAGGTCACCCTTCTCCAGGTGGCATTTCTGTGGCTCAGCTCTGCAGCTCTTTGGCTTGGAATGCTGGGATGTCTCCAGGAGAGGGAATCAAGACCCTCCAGGCCCCACTTTGAGCATCTCCAACTGTTCCTGGGGACACATCAAGCCAAAAAAAAGAAACCAGAAGACACAAAGGAGTCACTCACTGCAAGCATTTCTTCTCTTTGCTTCAAAGCCTCCTTGATTTCCAGGAACTGGAAGTGCAAGATGCTGTGGGCATGTTTCTCCCTCTCCAGTTCCTGGGAATAACCACACATCCAAGATAGGTTTTGAGGGACCTCGTGAAGAAAAGGGGATCCCACCCCTCCATGAATCCAGACATACTTTGCTCTTCTCCTGGTACTGGCGCCTGGACTCTGCCAGCTGCTCCTCCAGCTCCAAGAGGGCGTCCTTCAAGGTGTCCACTTGGTACATGAAATTGGTCTTGTCGTTGTCCAGTTGCGCATTGGACACCATGGCCTTTTTATACTTCTCCTCCACTTCAGCCAGAGAGTCCTGCAAGGAAGAAGCAGGCACAGAGAGGGTGGCAAAGGACACTTGGGCCAAGAAAAAGACCTCCAAGAGAAGCCACATGCCAGCATGCTGAGAGGAACCAGGGCTCATCCGTGTCCTCCCAGTGAGAACCTGCACGTTCCCACCAGCAGCTTTACCTCAGGAGAAAGTGCTTCCCACCCTCTGCTGCTGCAGCTCCTGCCCTTCCCAGAGTTTTGTTCTCCTTCTCCCTCCTGCCCCAGCCCCCTGGCAGTTCAAGAAGGTGACCAGTTGGAACGGGTTCCTCTTTTAACCTCGAGGTGAACTTGAGTTGAAGATCATGAGGCCTTCAATGAAGCCACAGATTCCAGGGATCCTTGCAGGGTGGAAACCACCACATATCCTGCCCCAGAACTTGCCATGAAAGCCCTCGAGCTTTTCTCACCTGCTGCATCATTTCCCACCCCATTTCCTGCCTCTCATCCCTTCCTGACCAATTCACTCCCTGAAGGCAGGATTCCCAAGGTCTGGAAAACCTCACCACCACCTGAAGAGTAGACAGCTGATGACCAAGAGCTCAGGATCCTTTCCTGCGTGGTGGGACCGTTGGATTCCCATGGGAATCTTGGACCTTCCCATGGTCTTTCAGGCCACCAAGCTGGGCAGATCCAACCACTGCCCCTCCCCCTCTCCCTGTCCTGCTGCAGCCCCAGGAGCAGGAACCCCAGGAGAGCAGAGACAGAGACCTCAGAACTCAGCTGGAAAACTTCTCAGGCACCTTCCTTTCCAAGCCCTCCCAGCAGGAAGCATGCAGGGTGAGTTGGGGGTGTCTGGGGGGGTGGTCTCCTGGCTTTGGATGTTTAATTGTTGTTAATGAGCACACTCCCAATTAAGCAGTACCTTCATTTCTTTCAGCCCCTGCATGTATTTGCCTTCTACATCCTGAATCTGGTCCTTCAACTCATAGAGATCCTGGGGGGAAGGGTGAGAGGGGTGAGTGATGCCACCTGAGGAGCTGCTGCTTTTGCAGCAAGAAGCCTCAAGTTCCTCCAATCCCATCATGTCATTTCTACTAATCAGCATCATCAGAAGGCAGGCACAGTCCTGGGTGGCATGAGACCCAGTCCTGCCAGCCAGCTGGGACGTGATGCTGGGCTGGGCTGCTGGGGTTTTTGGTAGTGGGGAAGGGCCCCACTACCCATGGGGAAGTGGCTCAGTAGGAAGCTGAGAAGCTCCCCCTGCTCCAAACCAGCCAAGGAACCATTAGAGGGACAATAGATGCTCCTCTCTGAGATAACACCTGAGCAGAGAAGCATTAAAGGAGAAGATCTGAGCTGGAGAAGGGGAGATGCTGGGGTGAAGATCCTGGTGGTTCGTGAGGAAGAAGGGGAAAAAGGTGCCCAAGCAGAAGTTTCCCTGCAGCCCATGGGGAGATGGCAGCTGTGCCCTTGACACTCCTGGAGGAACGTGGTGGGACATTTCCTGAAGGTGCCAGGAGGGCTGAACTTGGCCACTGGACTTGGATTTTGTGGCCAGTGGATCTGCTGCCAGTGACTTGGATAATGCAGCTGTGGAAGCCCCCAGGCCAAGGAAGGTGCCTGTTCCTGAACAGCCTGGGACTCTGGGAAGCCCACCCTGGAGCAGCTCTGGACCTGGTGGGAAGGACTCATGGAGGAGAGGTTGGTGGAGGATCTGCCATGGGAGGGACCCCGTGGGGAAGCAGGAAAGGACTGTGAGGAATCCTCCTTCCTGAGGAGGAAGGAGCAGCAGGAACTGCCAGCCTCTGAACCCCATCCCCCAGTGCCTTCTCAACCTTTGTCTCCACCCATGAGCTTCTTGTTGGGTTTGTCCTCCCCATGCCAGGGTGTGAGGGGGGAGCTGAGTGAGTGACCATGGAGCTGGTTCTTTGTGGTCATGTTGGGCCCAAACCAGGACAGGAATGAACAGGAACAACTTCAGAAGTCGACCTGTGGTTTCTTCATCTGTCAAATGTGGGGCAGCAGAACCTCCTGGGCTGGGTTACTAATGAGTTATTCAGTGTTTCTTACCTTAATTTCTCTAATTGATGCCTCAGTATCAGCTGAGATGGATGTGTCCCCACTGCCCCTCCGGGAAGAGGTCCCACCCAGGGAAGCTAAGGTAGCTGCTGATAAGCTGGAAACACAACGTGCTCCCTAGAATTTTAAGTGAAAAACAGTTGTTTTCTTGATTTATAGACGCTGTGGGTTTGTAGTTCAGGGCTTTGGGGACTTTTTTCATTGGTTTTGGCTGGTTTTGAGGTCTGTTTTGGTTGGGGTTCCTTTAGAAACCCACAACTTGCACTGACCAGCAGCTCAACTGCTGGATGACGCCAAGTCGAGTAAAATGGGACTTTCTAAGGACAAAACACATTGAAAAATGCAGGTTGGACAACGGAGAGTGAAGAGAAGAGGCAGCTCAGGTGTGTTTGGAGGCTGCTGGGCCAGGGGCCTGCACAGCCCAGCTCCTCACAACCCCAAGGAAGGACTTCAGGGGCTGGTCCCACCTTTGCCAGGTGTTTTCAACACTCACCTTCTCAAAGTCTTTCTCTGGCCTTTCCTCAATCTGGAAGACAAAGATTGAGAAGAGTTGGTGAGGGCAAAGTAAAAGGGCATCTTTCTCCTGCCCCAGGATGTCATTCCTGGTGGCAACCAGGAGAGCTTGGGGGAGCTCAGCTTTGGGGTTGGGCCTTAATTCTGCCCACAAATCAAGTTTATTGTTACAGGTTGGACCCCAATCAAGGGCCAATGAGCAAATTTCTCCCAGTGTTGTAGAAGGAAAGACTCTGAAGAGCAGGAGGATGGAGGAGGAGGAGAAGGATGGAGGAGGATGGAGGAGGAGGAGAATGAAGGAGGATGGAGGAGGAGGGTGAAGGAGGAGAGGGAGAGAGGAGCTGACTCACCACGGGACTGGCCCGAGCAGAGCTGGCTCTGGAGGATGCCCGGGATCCTGAGGCCAGGAAGGAGCTGTACTCAGAAGGCTGCAGCAGGAAAAGCAGCAGGAAGAGCAAGGAGAGAGGTGGGAAAAGCATCAGGATTGGGAAGGAGAGAAGACTGGGGAGCTGGCATCCAAAGGGAAGACACCAGAAATGGTTCCATGCAGAGGGATGGGGAACAGAGTGTCCACCTGGAAAACGTTCCAGCTGAGGAAGCCCCATCCTCAGGGTGAGAGGTTAATGAGCCCATCTCCACCCCCAAGTCAACACCCACAACTCCATCCTGCTGCTCCTCAGGAGCCCTGAGGTTCTCTGGTCACCCTTTCTTCTCCCAACACACCCCTGGACTCCAGAGGCCAAAGCAAGAACCTGCCTGTGGTTAATGAAGCTCAGACCACCTCAGAGACCACCAGGGAGGGCAGCACAGTAGGCCTTGCAGACCAACCCCCAGCCCAGCAGGGAGGCAGGACAGACAGACAGGACAGCCAAGGAGGCACAAAGAGCAACAATCAAAGGGGGGGGTTGATGCCCTCAGAGCAGCCTCTGCTGCTGCTGAGCCTGGAGAGTTGTGTTCCAGCTGCTGAGGCTCCCAGGAACCAACCCAAACCAAGGAATGATCCTCCTCTGGCAATGCACCACCTCAGCTTTGAAGGTTTCTCCCAGCTGGTCACCACAGGGATATCCTGGACTCCTCCTCCATGCACACTAATTAGGCTTTATTTATTAAAATTAAGCTTCATTCCAGGAAAACCAAGCTTGGAACACTCATGAATGAGAAGATTTGATTTCTCCCAAGAGCAGAACCACATCAGACCTTGGAGGGACTTATTTCCCAGAAAGACAGATACCCCACCCAACCCAAGGGCTTTGGAGACCTTGAGGAATCACTTTTGGGATGGAGATCATAGAATCATGGAATTCCAGGCTGGTTTGGGTTGGAAGGGACCTTCAAGATCACCCAGTTCCAACCCCCTGCATGGGCAGGGACACCTCCCACCAGCCCAGGTTGCTCCAAGCCCCATCCAACCTGCACTTGGACACCTCCAGGGATGGGGCAGCCACAGCTTCCCTGGGCAACCTGGGCCAGGTGCTCAGGATGGACGTGGCGTTGTGTGGTTGGGTTTGGAATGGTCTTCTTCTCCCTTTTTTGGGAAGGAGGGAGAAAAGGGCCTCTGAGGTTCCCCCAAGGAAGGGGAGAGCTCTGCAGATCCATCCATTACTGCTCCAGGATTCCCAGGAAGCTCAGGGTGACATTCCTGGGTGGGAATGTCCCTCAGCCTAAAGCGGCCGTGCTTGGGGACAGGGGGGGTGACAGGACAGGGGGACAGAGACAGAAAAGGTCTTACAGGCTGAGAGCGACGGCTGAAAAGGTTCTCCTGGAACCCACAGGCCTAGAGTGGAGAGAGAAGAGTCAGAGCAGCCAGATCCAGGCTTGGAATCTGCCCAGGTCACAAGGAGCACCTTGTGGAAGGGCTAAGGAGCACCAGGCCACCATTCCTGACCCAGCCCAGCACCTCAACCATCTGCACTGGCAAAGGGGCCACCTCGGTTCTGCCCACTGCTCCAAATCCATGGGGAAAAGCAGCTGAGCAGCTTCCTCCTCTGACCTGTCTAAACCAGGAGGATCGTGGGATCCCAGACTGGTTTGGGAGGGGAAGGGACCTTCAAGATCGTCTAGATCCAACCCCCTGCATGGGCAGGGACACCTCCCACCAGCCCAGGTTGCTCCAAGCCCCATCCAACCTGCCCTTCAACACTGCCAGGGATGGGGCAGCCCTAAGTAGAGCTCCCAAAATTATCATGGAATGGGGTTGGGTTGGATGGGACCTTCAAGATCATCCAGTCCCATCCCTGCCATAGTCAGGGACACCTCCCATTAGACCAGGCTGCTCCAAGCCCCATCCAACCTGGCCTTGGACACCCCCAGGGGTGGGGCAGCCCTAATTAGTGCTCCCCAATTTAATTATCATAGAAACATGGAATGGGTTGGAAGGGACCTTCAAGATTCAGGAGAACTTTGTGAGGGCACCAGGAGCTTTGCTGTTGGTGACCAGCAGGTATGAGAAACCAACCCCAGATGCAGCAGTGAAGCTCCCTTGGCCACATGCAGGGGACAGTTTGACCTCCTGGGGGGGATTCTAAAGCTTCAAGAAGTTTCCTTCTAGCAGCCTAGGAATGATTTGTTTCTCAGACCATGTTCTGCAGTCTGGGCTGATCCAGAGAGCAGAGGAGTTGCCTCAAACTGAACTAAAAGGTCAGTTAATTCAGATTTACCCCCTTTTTTTCCAGACCATTGGAGGCCAAAAAAGCCAACAAAGCCACTGCAGGGAAGGGAGGAACTTCCCATGAGTCTTTCCAACCTCTAAAGGTTTGGGTTTTGGTTCTTCAAGTTCTCCTAAGAAGTCTCAGAGGTCAATTGCTCCAGATTCATTCCTAAGTACCAGAGGTTGTGTCATCCCAAGGAAGGCAAAACAAACCCAGGCCAGAAGACAACAGACGCAGCTGCCATTCTAGGAAGCAGGCTGAGATGTGGAAGAGCAGCTGCTGTGGTGAAGACCAGGGTCAGAATAGTAGGAAGCCTGAATGAAGTGTCCAACAACCAAACCAACCCTTGAGAACTCAGATGTGACTTCGAGTCCCCTGGTCTACTGGGAAGTGGCCCTGCCCAGCCAGGGTGGTAGGACTGGAGGAACTTTGAGGCCCAGAGATGAGGCCCAAGAATCCCAGGAACATCTTGAGCAGAAATCCCTGCTCAGCCTCCACAATTTAAGCTCCTCTCCTGCCTCCTTGTTCCCCTGAACACCCAAGGCCATGACACTTTCAAGGTGCTGACACCATGAAGGCCAGTGTTTGGCCAAGAACCTGCCCCAGCACTGGCTTCTGCCCAAGGATTTCTGCTCAGGATTCAACTTTCACCCCGTTCTGTCCAAGAACATCAAGCAAGGTTTTGGCTCTCAAGTTCTACTGGGACCAAACATGGAGATTTCCCTTCCCCACTGGTGGCCTGAATTTCTTCTGAAGCTGCAGCTCCAGGTCTGACCAAACCATTGTTTGCCATGTAGGAAAAACCTGTTTCACCACCAGGTGGGGATGGAAAGGTGAAGCCCCAGCTTCAAAGCCCATCAAAACAGGGGTTGTAGAAGAGGAGAAATCATCTACTAACCCTGCCAGCTTTTCTACTCTGAGATGATCCACCCTGATCTTCCTCACAGTCACTGGGCTGCCATGGAAGGACAGAAGGGACAAGAAATGGATGCTCTCCTGGGCCTGGTGGCCCCTTTCTCTGTGTTATGCTCCCTCTAGGGAGCAGGTCCTGGGGAGCAGCAGGAACTGGTTCTTGAGAAGGGAAAATGGGGTCAAAAAAAGGGACAAGAAATGGATGCAGGGCCAAGATAAAGGACATTTTTTGGGGGTAGCACTGTGGAAAAACAAGGGGAGACAGAACTTCTCCAACATCCACCAGGAAGAGCAGAAGAGCAGGGGTCAAGTGGTGGTTTCCAACCTGGGTGTCCCTCATGGACACCAAAATGTTAAGGATGCTCCTGCTGGCCTCTTTTTTTGACCCCATTTTCCCTTCTCAAGAACCAGTTCCTGCTGCTCCCCAGGACCTGCTCCCTAGAGGGAGCAGAACACAGAGAAAGGGGCCACCAGGCCCAGGAGAGCAGAAGGAAACCAACTGGACTGCCCGGTTCCTCATCCCCGGGGCAGCCCAAGCAATTAACAAGCAGCCAATAATTAACTTCAAGTCATAATTAAGAAATTCAGGTCAGTCAGGAGGGCAGAGTTGGAGGAACTTTCCCTTCTCAACCTTCCCAACCAGCTCAAAATCCACCCAATCCCACCTGGATTGACCCCCTGAGCAGGATCCTCATCGAAAACATCTCCAGGAGAAGGGAAATTAACCAGTTTCGGGCCATCCTGGTCAAGCAGCTCCAGGGATGAAGCTGAGATGCCCGAAATGTCCCATTTTCACCCCAAAAAGAGGCCAAACAGCCCATCTGGTTTTGCTCCCTTCCCCCTCCCTCGAGCATCAGAGAGGGGAAAAGGTGGGGAAAAGGGGGGGACTGGGGGCGGGAGGTGTGGAAAAAGGGAGGGAAGAAAGGGAGGGAAGAAAGGGAGGGACTCAGAGGGTGGGGGGAAAGGGGGGACACAGGGGAGAAACAAAATGGGGGGGACTCAGGGGGGAAGAAAAAGGGGGGAACTCGGAAGGGGGAAACAAAACAGGGGGGACAATAAAGGAGGGCCCTCAGGAATGGTCCTTGTTTCCCTGCTGCTCATGCAGGAGGCACCAGCAGCAGGAGCCCAAAGCTCCTCCAGGACCCGGGATATGTGGCTGAGCCACCCAAAGGCCACCTGGGAGCTGCAGCCTCCTCAGGAGGAGCCGTGGGAATCCCAGAGTGACCCAAGGAACCACCATCCCCCTCCCAACAAACCCAGATGTCCACCAGGAGTGGTTTCCAAGCTCAGCTGGGAAGCCTGAACCTGCTTCTCCCAGACTTTGGATCTTCACAGGATCTTCTGGCTTGAAAAGTGTAAGGTCCCGAGCATCCCTGAGGGTTCCACTCAAACTGGGACAACACCTAAACTCTGGGAGCACCTTGTGCTCTTGCACAATCATCTCCCACCAGAAGCTATGACCATTTTTGTGATCACTGGGTTTTGATTTTCCACCTTCTTGACTTTTTTAGAATTTTGCCCTGAGTTTTTTGAGGGATAGTTTGAGGCAAT